GGAGCCATGTATTGCGTCTCATGATCAGAATCATCTCCACCATGTTCTTCACGTGTAATAAGAGCCAAAGTCTCCTCATCATAGTCACTAGCGGACTCATACCCACCATCCTCAGTAGCAATCATCACACGGTGAGATTTGCATTGTCACGCATAATGACCTCTTCCCTTACAATGACGACAAATAATATCACTTGTGTGCCCTGTTGATGCCATGGAAGAAGAACTCTGTGGAGGCCCGGTAGGTTCGCTCTTGGCAAATAATGGTGGTTGTGCCTGCTTTCTTATATCACGGCTGGAGGTGGCACCTAATGGAGGTGCTGGTGAAGTTGAAGTAGAAGATGAACGCGGTGTCCATGATGAAGGTCGACCTGTAGAAAAGTTAGTGCGCGCCATTGCTTGTCGATCCCGCACTTCACGTTCAGCTTTACAATCAAGATGGAATAAACGAGTGATATTAGTATACTCCTTATACTCTAGAATGGTCTGAATCTCTCTATTTAATCCACCCGTAAAATGTGCAAGCAGAGCTTCATTCTCCTCAACAATACCACATCTAATCATGCCAGTTTGTAATTCCTGATAATATTCTTCTACAGAATTTTTTCCTTGTCTTAAACGCTGCAATTTTTGAAGCAATTCACATTGATAATATGGTGGAACCCAACAAGTACGCATAGCAGTTTTCAAAGCAGCCCGAGTAGCTGGAATAGGATATAATCTACAATGTTCAGACCACCATACACATGCAAAACTAGTGAAAGCACAAACAGCAGCAGCAACCCGTCTCTCCTCGGGATATTGTAAACATGTAAAACGTTGTTCAGTTTCTAACTCTCAAGTAAGATATATATCAGGAACATACCTACCCTCAAATGGTGGAATATTCAATTTCAGTTTAGGAATATGGACATCATCTCGTACCTGAGGTGGTGGTGCGGGCCTACAATTACGAATATATACCTGAGGTCGACCTGCTGGTGGTGGTGCTGGTGGCTGCACGTAGTTCTGATTTTGATCAACCTCATCCTCATCATCGCCCGCATACTCATCATCCTCCTATGTACCAGCAACAGAAGTAGAAGGAGCCAAGGAAGCATCAACAACAGGAACATCAACACCAGAAGTTCGGCCATCCACAATATGAACATGCTTCGCTCTTCCATACTGATTCGGAAGGAGGCGTTGTTGTTGTTGTTGCAGAGGTGCGATAGGTGCAGCTGGCGGTGGTTGTGGAAAACACGCGAGCAATTCATTAAAGTTGCTATCAAGCTTTGTTTCGAACATCTTCTCAATGCCATCTATCTTCTCCATGGCCTCGTCAAATCTGTTTAGCACATCTTGCACCTGTCCACTCATCATTTGCTGAAATTTATCATGTAGCTGTTTGTTCGTCAGGTTCTCTCAATCAGTCTCATCGGCTTGTGATCCTACCATGGTTAGCAGCAAATAGAAACACACAAGAATATGATCCTACAGACTACTAAGAAGTGGTGGTGGTGTATCACAAACCCGCTAAGCAAATCTCAAATTCTTACCAGTTCTTACCCAGCAGCAGGTGGTGATCAGCAACCGTTGTAGTCAAAACTCTCAAAGCTTGGATAGAGCGATTACCAGGGAGAGTCAAACGCACAACGTAGATGTATGTGGAGCTGGGAAGGCTTATAATATGGTAGCAAAAAGGGTCAGCAATAATCAATTCAGAGATGCAAAGTTGAATAAATGCTCAATGACAGTACTGTGCTGGTCCTAGGCTAGACTGTGCTAGAGACGCGAGCCTAGAACACTAACAAAATCACGGCGCTGCACGTAAACAAGGGAAAATCACACTCTGGAATTTTTTTTGCTCTTTTTTTTGCGCTGCTCTTTTTTTTTGCGAAAAATCACTATAATGGCGAGTGTCTCAAAACTCTTCCCAGGTCAAACTGACAGGATGGGCACGAAATTTATTTGACCAATTTTTTTTCGACTGCCCGGACCCAAAAACTGGAAACGGGTCAAAAAAACTTTCTATAACGGCGACTGTCTCAATACGCTTAGAAACACCTAAAAATTGGATAGCCAGAAAATTTTTCGACAAGTGCGTTTTCGGAAAATTTTGGGCCTAACGGAGGGTGGTTTCCGGACTTTTTTTTTCCGAAACCTACTCCGGCAAGGAAACACGAAACGGAAACTAGATGAATCTCGAAAACAAACCTAATATGCAAGGAACTCGGATTGGTGGTGGATATATCGTGGTGGTATATGGCAACGGTGGTGGTAGCGGTGGTAGTATATGGATATGGATCGGTGGTGGTATATGGACACGGATTGGTGGTGGTATATGGATACGTATTCGGAGCGGTGGTGGTAGGTGACAGGGGCGATGATGATGGTGCGGTGGCCGCGTGACAACTTATGACCAGAACTCGAAACTCTAAAAGACAAGACGCTAAGACCAACAACTATTTACGACGATGCAACCGCAAATTCAACAAAGCAAAACCCTAAAATGATTATGCAAAGGCTCAGATTGGTTCGGATATGATGAACTAACCCTAATTTTTTTGTGGCTTTTTCGTGGACTATAGGTATGAAAAATAGACTCGATCTAAACTATGAAAAACTGTAAAATCTCACCGAGCAACCTGGAAATCTGATACCACTTGATAGAGGCAAAGGTGTCCCGTCTTTCGATGAGATGATGGATTTCTCTTTGGTGGAAGTCGACTTTGACGATCCGACTACGAACGTGGGAGGACGTCGCGCCTTAGCAATCGCTAAACCAACTCCGAGAGGTTATTGACCACGCCGGAGCACGATCAACCTGATAAGTGCATTTCATATATATAATTTGGCACTCAAATTTAGCATCTATCGTGGTATATCCATCCATTCTTACTATGAACTATTATATAGTAGGATGAAAATCATATAAAAGATCATTTACTACTTAGTGGTTTGTTTTGCAGAAAAGTGCGAGAACGCACTATAAATCTTCATGATTCCGACATTGAGGATAACTATAAGAGTTAAGGGAAGGAAAGAAGAAGAGGAACAAGACAAGGAGCTAGAAGAGATGAAGAAAGGACTTGGGTGAGAAGAAACGAAGTAAGTAGAGGGGCAAGTTAAAGGAGAGAGGGACCTTCTTGTGAAGGAAGAAGAAAAGGAGAAGGGCCAATGTGTGAATGGGCAGATCTGATCGGAGGGGAACAAAATCCCTAGCGGCATCCTTCTTTCTCCTTGGGCCTGGCTACACATCTCTCTTCTCCCCCACCTCTCCTTCTCCAACTCCGGCCGCCGCCACGGCCAGGCCGGCGTGGTGGTGCGCCTCCGTAGCCCATCCACCCAGCACCACCATCACATCCATCCACCTGCGCCTCCCAGCCATCCATCCACTCATCTTCACTAGCGCCACCATCTCCACCAGCGCCACCATCTCCACATCGCGCCATCACTCCACCGCTGCACCTCGCACGCCCGACCAGACGGGTGTCTGGGTACCCGCGCGACCCTGCCTTCTGCCGCTGCTCCTCTTCCCCATCCCTACTGCTGCTTCTTCTCCCCTTGTCCCGTTGCTCCCCGCACCTCGCGTCCCTGCTGTTCCTCTTCAATTTCTGAACCTGAACCTCCTGCTGCTACTACTCCTTTCCTTTGCTGCTCTTCCTCTTCTCCACGCCCCTGCTTTTGCTTTCTCTGCATGCCCTTACTGCTGCTTCTTTCTCAACCTCTTGCTGCTCTTTCTCTTGATCTCCCTACTGCCCCGCTCTTGCCCCTCTTATCTCTTCTCAGTGCGCTACTTCTGCTCTCTCAACCCTCCACGCTGTTGCTGCTCATCTCTCTGCTCCTCCTCTGCTTGAACTGCTGCTGCTCCTTCCTCAACACTACTGCTTTTCCCACACCAAAACTGCTGCTGCTTTGATGCTCCTCTGAACCTCTCTCTAGCGCCCCCTTTGCTACCGATTCTCCTCTTCACCTACAACTCTCTTTCTCATTCTCTAATTTCTGTAATTTTGAGTAGTGTCATGATTAGTACTATGTAATGTTCAGTTTTGTTAAGTGTAAGATCCTTCTGTTTGGTTCAGTTTCGAAGTTGTATTAATGTTAGATTTGTATGTCCTCACTAGTTGATACCTTGTCACTTTGAGAAGTACTTCATCTGTACTACTTTGCTTAGTGAAATAATAATCTGCATATATGTGTGATATCCTGTGACATATAAATATATGTGTGTGTTTGTGATGTGAAAAATCCATCCTCTGTCATATTATCTTGTTTCTTCCCCCTGTACTTGTTTTGTCATGTGACTTTCCTTTCGTGTTAGTTTCTATTGTTTCTAGAATAATATGAGAATACCAAAAAAAGACAAAGTGAAGATAATCTGAACCTCCCCTTGCTTATTTTCATTTTCTTTATCGTCAACTTTGGTTAGTTTAGGCTTATGTTTCCTTGCAATCATCATCTAAATTCTGTTACCTAGCTTTAGCCGAGTATAGTTGCCGTCGCCTAGTCCCTGAGGAGAACACGACATCCGTAGTTTGGGCATAAAAACCCCACTATAATACAATTGATCATTTTGGCACCGTTGCCGGGGACTAGCGTCGAGCGTTTGTGTGAGGCTTTAGACTAGGTTTAGCTTGTTTCCTTTTTGTGCTTTATATATTTGTGATATATCTCTAACTCCTAACCCTTGTTCTAGTTTATTTTCTCTTTGTTTTCTTTTGCTTTTTGCAGGTTAGAACCATCTTCTCGGATATGGATTACTATTCAGATCATCATGCTTATGCGAGCAACACTACAAACAGCACGGAAAGTATTCAAGAACTGATACGTAAGATTTCCCATCGATTAGATGATTTAGCTCGGCAGCGAGAAGGAGTTTTTGAGGATAGGCCTAGTTCTTACGATCCTTATTCCAGAGGCCATCCTTATGTTGCTCCTACTTGCCATATATGTGGATTTCAGGGCCATTCGCCCGCTGAATGTTAGCGTGGTTACTCCCATCCTTCGGATTGTTTTGGCATGAGCTTCGCTAACCAGCATAGCTCATACCAAAACAATTACACGCATGGGTGGCTTGAAAACCAGAATATGTCATATAGGAGCAATAACCCTGAGATGTCATCGTTTGCCTCTAGTTATCTAATGCAGGGAGTTAGGTATGAAGAGGAGAGCCACAACTATGCTCCGCAACAGTTTTATTCACCTCCTACTCATATACCGCAGCACCAGGAGATGTGTCCAATGGAGTTAAATGGTCCTCCATTTGGGCAACCGACAACTCCAGCACCTGATGAGTCATTAGTGCAATCTCATGTGCAAGTGCCCACACAAGATGAGTTCGATGACATAGATAAGCTCACATTTTTGAGTCTTGAGTTCACTTGGAGTGCCGAAGATGATCCAATTAGGCCGGTGATACTAGAGGAAATGAAGAAGATTAAGAGTGGAAAGGAGCTAGTGGAAGAAGTAAGGAAGATTGAGAAGAACATCAACGCTGGCAGTACTATATCATCACAGTTTGAGTTGAGTGTGGCTGAGATATCCATTGATACATGTGAGGTTCCAACACCTTCACATTCAGCTGAGCAAGATAGCGAGAGTCCAGAGGAAGAGATACTTCAGATCCAAGAAGAAATTCTCGAAGCCAAGGCACAAGATGATCCAGAGCTCGAACAATAAAGTGAACAAGTTGAAGATCCAATGTCTACCACTCACAAAGAAGTAAAAGAAGATGTTGTAGATGAAGATGAAGAACCTGAGATTCATTTGCCTATTGTCATACCAGAGCGTGATGTGTCAGGTTTATCTAATCCTCTTAATGACATGTCTTCATATGATTTATTTGCTTCTACCTTGCATTACATGATGCCATCACTTAAGATTGATTTGAAAAATCATTTACTTGGATATGATGATACATACACTGTTGGTGGCATTGCTCTCATTTGTGATGATCACAATTACTTTCCTCATGCTAGTCTTGAGCTTAATGATAAATGTCATCCTCGTGTGAGTATGATGAAGAACCTAAGATTCATTTGCCTATTGTCATACCGGAGCGTGATGTGTCAGGTTTATCTAATCCTCTTAATGACATGTCTTCATATTATTTATTTGGTTCTACCTTGCATTACATGATGCCATCACTTAAGATTGATTTGAAAAATCATTTACTTGGATATGATGATACATACACTGTTGGTGGCATTCCTCTCAGTTGTGATGATCACAATTACTTTCCTCATGCTAGTCTTGAGCTTAATGATAAATGTCATCCTCGTGTGAGTATTGACCATGCTGATTTCTGCCATCCTAAACATGTGCTTTATAGTTATGCTTATATAATTGGATATTCCATTGATGACTTGGAGGGCATCGACCGTATCACTTGTAGTTGTTTGTGTGAGTCCTATTTCAGGCTTTTGCTACTGCACTGTTTACTACATGCTGACCAGGTTTGAGGTAACATTCCTTGGGATCCTGGTGGAGTCAGAGCATGGCGATGAGGAGAAGCAATGGGGCACACATATGGAAGAGTGAAGCTGGAGCATCCATGAGGAAGCAAGGGAGAAGAGCTGCAGCTGGTGAGGTGATCGGGCGAGTGCTACATGATCAAAGCCCGGTGAGATGTTTCATGACCCATTCTAAATATCATAAATACATGCTGAATTCAATTGCTAGTTGGGTTGTTTGAGCTAGTTATTACTTGTTGTCAAGCTAAAATTCACCTTTGGCATTGTGCTTGATGTGAATTTGTGTACTTGATTTCTGAATGCCTTGTAAACTAGTGATCTACACAATGCATGCTTTGCTGAAATTTGTGGAAGTCATTAGTTTTGAGTGCTCAAATCCCTAGTACACTAGAAAATTGATCATTTTCTACTTTTACCTTGATACACCTAAATCACCATGTTTAGATGCAGAATTTGTGTTAAGTGTGTTCCCATTGAGAGCAATCACCTAACCACTATGGATTAGCATGCTATGTTCCCTGGATCGGTAGCATGTGAACCAGACATGGAGAAGTGATGATTCCTATTTTTGTGCTTATGCGTTGTTCATTTAAGATAAATAATAATGAATAAATAAGTCTGGCTACCTACAGTAGCATGTCATGTTCCCGGGATCGGTGGCATGTGAAATCGGGTTAGCTTGGGCAGTAATTAATAATAATAAAAATGTAATTATCGAACCAGGTGTATACCATGTTCTCAGGATCGGTGGTATGTTCCTTTGGGGAGACAAACAAAAAAAATTAATAAAAATTGGTTGAGCCAGGTGTATACCATGTTCTCGGGATCGGTGGTATGTTCCTTCGGTGAGACTAATAAAATAATATGTGTGTTTCTTTCAAATTCAATAAGTGGTTCAACCACAAAGTCATATTTCTGCAAATAAGAGATTTAATTCTAGTTCTTTTTGTTCTCGGGATCATGCTCTCTTTAGGAACCATTTGGCGCAGTCATCATTTAAACTTCTTGATCCTCTTTTATCACTGTAAAATTTTAAAATGGTCATGCTTACTAGTATCCTACTGCTTTGTAGCACTCCTAACCATTAATTTTCACTAGCTAAGTCTGAAGCATGCCTTGTTTGGAGATCTATTTTACCAGGACATTCCTTACTCAGTTCACTGTTCATTATCTTGCCTTTGTCATATTCCTTTGCTTGAGGACAAGCAAAGATTTAAGTGTGGGGGAACTAGATAAGTGCATTTCATATATATAATTTGGCACTCAAATTTAGCATCTATCGTGATATATCCATCCATTCTTACTATGAACTGTGATATAGTTGGATGAAAATCATATAAAAGATCATTTACTACTCAATGGTTTGTTTTGCAGAAAAGTGCGAGAAGGCACTATAAATCTTCATGATTCTGACATTGAGGATAACTATAAGAGTTAAGGGCAGGAAAGAAGAAGAGGAACAAGACAAGGAGCTAGAAGAGATGAAGAAAGGACTTGGGTGAGAAGAAACGAAGTAAGCAGAGGGGCAAGTTAAAGGAGAGAGGGACCTTCTTGTGAAGGAAGAAGAAAAGGAGAAGGGCTAATGTGCGAATGGGCAGATCTGATCGGAGGGGAACAAGATCCCTAACGGCATCCTTCTTTCTCCTTGGGCCTGGCTGCACATCTCTCTTCTCCCCCACCTCTCCTTCTTCAACTCCGGCCACCGCCACGGCCAGGCCGGCATGGTGGTGCGCCTCCGCAGCACATCCACCCAGCACCACCATCACATCCATCCACCTGCGCCTCCCAGCCATTCATCCACTCATCTCCACCAGCACCACCATCTCCACCATCTCCACCATCGCGCCATCACTCCACCGCTGCACCTCGCGCGCCCGACCAGACGGGTGTTTGAGTACCCGCGCGACCCTGCCTTCTACCGCTGCTCCTCTTCCCCATCCCTACTGCTGCTTCTTCTCCCCTTGTCCCGTTGCTCCCCGCACCTCGCGTCCCTGCTGTTCCTCTTCAAGGTGTGAACCTGAACCTCCTTCTGCTACTACTCCTTTCCTTTGCTTCTCTTCCTCTTCTCAACGCCCCTGCTTCTGCTTTCTCTCCATGCCCTTACTGCTGCTTCTTTCTCAACCTCTTGCTGCTCTTTCTCTTGATCTCCCTACTGCCCCGCTCTTGCTCCTCTTATCTCTTCTCAGTGCGCAACTTCTGCTCTCTCAACCCTCCACGCCGCTGCTGCTCATCTCTCTGCTCCTCCTCTGCTTGAACTGCTACTGCTCCTTCCTCAATGCTACTGCTTTTCCCACACCAAAACTGCTGCTGCTTTGATGCTCCTCTGAACCTCTCTCCAGCGCCCCCTTTGCTGCCCGATTCTCCTCCTCACCTACAACTCTCTTTATCATTCTCTAATTTCTGTAATTTTGAGTAGTGTCATGATTAGTACTATGTAATGTTCAGTTTTGTTAAGTGTAAGATCCTTCTGTTTGGTTCAGTTTCGAAGTTGTATTAATGTTAGATTTGTATGTCCTCACTAGTTGATACCTTGTCACTTTGAGAAGTACTTCATCCGTACTACTTTGCTTAGTGAAATAATAATCTGCATATATGTGTGATATCCTGTGACGTATAAATATATGTGTGTGTTTGTGATGTGAAAAATCCATCCTCTGTCATATTATCTTGTTTCTTCCCCCTGTACTTGTTTTGTCATGTGACTTTCCTTTCGTGTTAGTTTCTGTTGTTTCTAGAATAATATGAAAATACCAAAAAAAGACAAAGTGAAGATAATCTGAACCTCCCCTTGCTTATTTTCATTTTCTTTGTCGTCAACTTTGGTTAGTTTAGGCTTATGTTTCCTTGCAATCATCATCTAAATTCTGTTACCTAGCTTTAGCCGAGTATAGTTGCCGTCGCCTAGTCCCTGAGGAGAACACGACATCCGTAGTTTGGGCGTAAAAACCCCACTATAATACAATTGATCACAACCTGACCACGAGGGTCTGTTTCCTGCGAGCAAACGAAGAACAAGCAAGAAACTGAGATTGCAATCTGGATATTGCGAATATAAGATGAAAGCTTTATTGATCAAAGTGGGGTTCTGTGACGCCTTTGTCTGGTCGTTGAACACAAACGAAGTATGCGAAGTTGCAGCTATGGCGAATTTTAATCTAAACAAAACCCAAAGTCTAAACGGTGCCCTAAGGGCTGTATATATGGAGGAAGAGAGGGGGAATTTCGTGGCCCTTGGTGGAGGGGTCCGAAATCAACCAAATCTCTTATTTCCCCACACATACGGACTCTAAAAATAGCCTATACTAATGTATTTCGAAATTACATGGGCCTGGCCCAATAAAAAGGTGACGCGGCACCTATAATAGCCTCTGGACAAAATTTGTGAAGTGGCGTCTTGTATATTTCGTCCAAGGCTTCATGCACTCGTTATGGTGGCTTCAACGACCTGAAATCATCACTCTTAACTCAGTTCTTGTTCCCCTTGCGCATGCCATCATCTCCATGCTTTCTCTTGCTCCAATGTTCATCCTTCTCCAAGCTAGGCCCTTCATTTGTAAGCAAAACAAATGTATCCAATTTAGGCAGCATCATATTCTCATGAACATTAGAATCATTACCAAGAAACGAAAGTACCTGGTAATTTAGTTGGCGTGCGCGAGCTCTAGTAATTGGTCCAGTATGTATAACAGCAGGGGCTGTGGGTGTAACAATGGTATTGATGTCCTCATCATTGAGCCGACTGGTAATGAGATTAATGAAATCACCACGAACATCTCGCTATTGACGTGAACGTCGCCTCTCACGAAAAGAATGCTACGCCATTATGAGACATCAAAGCGTCAAACATAGATTTTAATTCTTGCTGCTATTGGGGGTACCATTATCCTGCCCATTCATCCTAACCTTGGTTCACAGGGTTAAAATCAAAACCAACCAATTCATGTATGGACATGCATGCATGCATTGCAATAATGGACACTAACATAGGATATACATTTCTTCTATACTTTGCCATCGCCTCCGTGCCCCCGCCGTTCTGCGCTGATGTTTATTTTGGGGAACACATAAATTTTCTCTTCATTGCAACACACATGCATATTTGGCATGAAAATAAAATAAAATCTTGAAACCAAACTACCAACCATCTCTAAAAAAACAACATTGTAAAAATCCGTTTGCATTCAAATGTTTTCAAAAAATTTAAAA